AAAAAAAAAAAAAAAAGAGAAAAAAGTTGAGTCTTTTTCTGGCCTTGAGTTCTTCCATCCTTTTCATCCATACTCAATTGCGGTTGTGTTAAGAACTCATAAGATTTCTAGGTGTTTCTCTTGGGTATATGTTTTTAATTCTTTAAAATTAACATTTTTTTCTATCTAAATATTTGGGCAGTGAAATAACTGAAACACTTTATGTTAATCTTTTCATGGATTTTATAGTGTCCTTCCTATAGTGTTAATATTTTTATGCTCTTCTCCTCCCCCTTATATTGTTGTATAACCCCAAAATGAACTGGCTTATAACAATAAACATCTCAATAGTCAATGAAGTCAGGAATTTGGGAGAGGTTTAGCTGAATGGTTCAGCTCAAAGTCTGATAGGAATAGGACATTGCAATGAAGACATCAGCTGGGGAACTGGAAGCTTCTTCCCTTGCCACATGAATCTCTCCCATAGGCTTGTTTGAATATCTTTGTGACACAGCAGGTGCTTCCTCCAGAGCATGTGGAGAAGCAGCAAGTGAAATGCCTCTCATGTCCTAGTGTCAGAAGTCACAGACTTCCCTTTCTATATAATGCTGTTTATTAGAAGCAAGTCACTAAGTCCAGCCCACGCTTTTTTCTCTGAGAGATAGAGTCTCACTCTGTTGCCCTGGGTAGAGTGCCATGATGTCATCATAGCTCACAGCAACCTCAATTTCTTCAACTCAAGTGAAGAAATTGTCTATAGCTTCAGCCTCCTGAGTAGCTGGGACTGTAGGCACCAGCCACAATACCTGGCTAGTTTTTCTATTTTTAGTAAAGGAAGGGTCTTGTAGCTCAGGCTGGTCTCAAACTCCTAAGCTCAAGCTATCCACCTATCTTGGCCTTCCAGAGTGCTAGGATTACAGGCATGAGCCACTGCACCCTACCATTCCAGCCCACACTTAACAGTAAAATAAAGTTGTATCCCTTAAAGTGAGGAGCGTCAAAGAATTTGGGGACTATTTAAAAACCACATACCCCTAACACATTTCATTGGTTTAAGTCAAGAGTTTTTTAT